CTTTGAAAATTGAACTGAAAAGTCTTAATAGGCTCTAGAACCTGACCTGGAGCCAGGATGGAGAGCTTTTATAAGAACATTTAGCCAGGAGTCCAAAAGTCATTATCTACCCTACAGAATAACTGGAAGGTCAGATGTGGGACGAAATAATTTATACAGAAAAATACAAGATTCATGGTGTGGATTTCTACAGCTTATACTATGTGCCATTGGTGAGGTTAATATGTCATTTTGGTCTTTGCAATCTTAAAAATAGATCAGCCAAAGCTTCTATGGAAGATTTTGTCAAAGCAAAACTTAAATACTAGTATTTCATAGAAGGCTCTGTTATGAAAGCTTTAATCTTATTTATGCCATTATTTAGAAATCTACCTGCTAGCAGAGGAAGGGTAAGTATTTCAAAGAATCCTATGGGATTATAGCATAACTCTTGTCAAAATTAATGACAGTTTTACTGCTAAATCTTTTCAAAACATGGCAGTACAGAAGCCTAAGTGTCCAGTTTCCATAGGAAAGCTTATCTTTTCTCTTAGCTGTTTCCTAGTGTTGTTTCTGTAGGCAGGAAGCCTTCTCCTGAACTGTAATTGGAGCCACTACGTAGACAGTATTTTGTGTTGATTATCCTGTCACAAAGCAAGAGGATAAAATGAAGATGTGACCATACTCTACAAAGAGCATGAATTTCTTATCAGCCTTGGTATTGCTGTTTTTTCAATCTGAGCACCTGCTTGTCCCTTCTAACTGAAAAGGATCATTTTTAGCCAATATACAAATCTGAGAGGAATGAAGTGGCCTAGTTCATTAAGGGGCTCATTTCTGTGCTTTTCATCTCTGATGCTCTCCTGCATTTGGGAATAAAAAGCCTGACAATTTTTGCCTGTGTCCAATTCAGTTAAGGATTAGAAAACTCATTAAGCTCTACTTCAAGGTTTGCTAGGTTCCTTTAGACTAATAACTTTACTACTACAAGACCTTGTTTCTTCTTCTCCAAAATGCTAGTTGGTGGGACCTGAATTCAGGATCACATGTCAACAAAGGATGTTCAGCATTCAGTTTTGAACCTTACCTCTGTGAATGACATCCAAGTTAAAAATATTAGCAGAGTAATTGATATATGAAAAGCATTGAAGCTAATTTGAGAGTGAGCAGACTAAGTCTTCTAGCAACCTAAACTTAACAGCCTGTGAAAAAAAAGTTTCTTTTCAAGAGATTTCATGGAAATACTATTTTTTCTTCATTTATAAGTATTAACTAGTTTAGTCACATGAAATCAATGTAAACCAGAGTCTAATGAGCCAATCTACCACCATTGTGAAAGCACAGACTGGCTGCTTAGCGTGCGAGACCCCAAAGGATGGAAGAGTAGGGACACTGCAGGGGAGGATGTGCGTGCACTCAGTGTTCACGCTGCACCTCCCAGGCTAGTGCGGTCAGCAGACTGGCAGCACAACACACAGCAGACCCGCAGCGGAGTCTGAAGGTGCTCTCCAGAGCGTGCCTGATGCTATCTGCTAAGCAGCTTCGCGTGCAGTCAGGAGCGCCCAGGCTAACTGTCCACAGGCTGGCTGTAGACAGTCATCTAGCTGGAAAGCAAATGTGCCACGGTATGCATTGCGCTAATGGAGGTTCTTGTTCCTGCTCATGAACTGTTGTGCAGGCATAGCCAGTTCACTACCCTAACAGATTTTACTCCCACATCACTTGCCTGCTCCATCCAGGCCCATCTTGGACTCCTTTGCCCTAAATTCATTCTCACAAAGAAGAGAAGAGAGAGTAAAAAAGCATACAGATGGGTCAGATAAGCAGAAATTATAACTGTCTGAAAGACAAAGCCAAGAACTTCAACAGAAGTATTCTGAAAACAAAGTGCCCTGCAAGTTCTTAAGTGATTCACTGTGATTTTCAACCATAGAATCATAGAATCATAGAATGCTTTGGGTTGGAAGGGACCTTTAGAGGTCATCTAGCCCACTGTTTTAAAGGGTCTTCATGTGGCTTAAAACAAGGATATTTACATTTGGATTTATATTGGCTATTACCTTAAAACAGCTCAGGCTTTAACAAAGCAAAAATATGTTTGTTACCCTTAAGCCTTCAAATATAACTCACCTGGGTTAATATGAGGCACTGGAAGTAGTCTTTCCATTATTTATTTAGATAATTTATTTAGAGTATCTAACTGCAAGCTTCAGTACACATTGAAGGGGAAATAATTTCTCTTTTACCACTCAACCAGCAGTTGACCCCAGAACCTCTTTTTCTCCTCACCTCTTTGTTATGAAAGTGAATTTAGAGCAAAGAGACACCAACACGTAGCTGAACAATTTTCTGTCTCAAAGGGCTCTGAGACATGGGAGGGAGAACCCAGTTTTCTGGACCGACTATCCAATGGCCTGTTGACTGCACCATGTTGCCAGCTACGACACTAGTAGTCTCCCAGAAGTTACTGTCCTTTCCTTGGCAAGTAAAATTCAACCACTGTGCAATACATAAAAAGTCATTCACCTAGGGTATTAATCAAAGTATCATTTAATTGCATATTTAGTTCATGTGATTTCTTACAGTTAGCATTATCAATTTGCTCTGGTTAGTTAAAGCATGTATTTAATCCCGTAGAGTGCTCTGGTATTACTTATCAACTAAGCCTCAATTTGGAAATTACAATATATACATATATATACACACACACACACATATGTAGCCTATATATTTGGCACTTAAAGCAGAACAAGCTGTGAAAATCATACAGGTTTCTGGTCATTTTTCTATGGAAGGAAATCGAAAGTACCAGATATTAATGACCCACCTATTATAAGTCTGCCTTCTAAATAACCACACTCTTTTAGGGGACAAAAGGTGAATTTCCATAAAGTCAGAATCTCTCCCATCTTGTTCATCGGGGAGGAAAGGACAGAAAAGTTCACTTGGCTGAGGCTCTCAGATGAGCTGGCTAAGTTCCATTAAGCACTGTTAGTTAGCCTCTGTCATCCAAAAATATATGAAGTAAACCAGAAGCCAGGCCTCAAACAACTGGGCAGGATGAAGGAAAAACAAAGATGCAGGAGTAAAGGTTCTTATAACACACGGATCATCAGCTAAATTCCTCTAGAATATGGCAGAAGATTTAATCCAGAAAAATGCTTATATATAGATCTCACATCAGCTGGGCTTCTCTTTTTTTTTTTTTTTTCCTCCTGTGAGATAGAGCATAAATTGTATCTGACAGTGGACTAGAAAAAGACTATTTATTCTAACAGATTCAAGCTAGGATTCAGTGCAAGCTCCATTGTGAGATACTCTAGCACAAGCCAGGACAGCCACCAGAATCCAGGAGAAAGAGCAAGAAAGGTGAATTGTCACCTTCCAAGACGTCAGTGAAGGTCTGCCTAAAGACATTTATCTTAAAAGTGCAAAACCAGCTAAAGCAAATACCTATCAAGCCTGAGCATTTTAGGAAAAGTAAAGTTTCATACTTGCCAGGCAGTCCAGATTAAAGCAGATTATCTTAATTAATTATCTATATACTTTTGAGTAGCAATACTACTGTTGCACAAGTCTTTTAGCATCAGGCTCACACAGCAAGACGGGATACTTGTGTTCTAAGTATAGTGAGTCAGATAAGGTGAATTAAGGAATTGTCGTGGTTTAACGATGGACCCGCTGCTGGCCAAAGCTGAGCCTGTCAGCAAAGCTGGTGGTGCTTCTGTGGTAACGTGTTTAAGAAAGGGTAAAAACCGCTGTGTGGTGGCTGGGAGAGAGGAGTGAGAAAATGTGAAACAGCCCTGCAGCCACCAAGGTCAGTGAAGAAGGAGGGGAGGAGGTGCTCCAGGCACCGGAGCAGAGGTTCCCCTGCAGCTCCTGGTGAAGACCATGGTGAGGCAGCTGTGCCCCTGCAGCCCACGGAGGTGAACGGTGGGGCAGATATCCACCTGCAGCCCACGGAGGAGCCCACACCGGAGCAGGCTCCTGGCAGGAGCTGCATTCTGTGGAGAGGAGCCCATGCTCGAGCAGGTTTTCTGGCAGAACTGTTGCCTGTGGGTAACCCACGCTGAAGCTGTCCATTCCTGAAGGAGTGCACTCCATGGAAGGGACCCACGCTGGAGCAGTTCGTGAAGAACTGTAGCCTGTGGGTGGGACCCTGCACTGGAGCAGGGGAACAAGTGTGAGGAGGAAGGAGCAGCAGAGAGGAAGTGTTACGAACTGACCACAGCCCCTGTCCCCCATCCCCCTGCCCTGCTCGGTGGGGAGGAGGTAGAGGAGCTGGGATTGAAGTTGAGCCTGGGAAGAAGAGGGGTGGGGAAGAAGGTGGCTTTAGTTATGTTTTTGTTTCTCATATCTCTATTTTTAATTGGCAATAAATTAAATTTAGAGTCTGTTTTGCCCGTGACAATAATTGGTGAGCAATCTCCCTGTCCTTATCTCAACAAGATAAGGAGCTTTTTCTTCTATTTTCTCCCCCTGTCTTGCTGAGGAGAGGGAGAGAGCAGCTGGGTGGGCACCTGGCAGCCAACCAAGGCCAACCCACCACAGAACTATACTGTTCACCCATTTCCAGATGTAAATCCAACAGATATATTGTACAGTCTTGCAGAGGACATATCTGCAAAGTGTCACGCAAAGGATGTTCTCTTTTTACCACTACTACATGCTTTACAGTGCAAATTCTCCAACAAGGGCTTCCCCTCCACACTACATACCTCATTTTCGATCAAATCAGTTTGTTTTCCTGCATGATGATCATTCTAGAGTCATACTGTTATTTACACATAAAAATAATTTTTTTAAAAGTAAGTAATTCTGAATGCGAAATTCAGCCCTGCTGGCAGAGCATAGGCTCTGCAATCACAGTTAAGATGCAATAAATTATCTTTTGTTGTTTTTTTTTTTACTGAGATGTGTTCAACTTGAAACCTGACATTTCTAAACCCACAGTCCCTTTTCATCATCTTAGAGAGGCAGTAAACCAAGTTCGATGAAAAGCAAACTTAAAACAATACATCATGATTCAAGGAAAAGATTTTATTTTAGGGCTAACAAGTTGATAATAAATAAAGGAATATAATAATGTAATAACAGATGTTCTCATGCACTTAACACATACAATAACGCTGGCTTACACTGCTGTTTGGACAAATTGAGAAGAGGTATTTGGCAATACTCTAAGTTTGAATAGGTTAGAGATTATAGAACAAGAAATTCTTTCAGATGTTTTTACATTTCTTTTATACAAATTCAAATAAATATTAATTAATCTGTTTTTCCTCAGGTTTTGTGTTCACTTTTAACATGTCCGATAACTAAGCCACAGTAATATACAACTGCCAAGAAAGAGTTTTATGAATTATACTTATTAATATTCCTAAAAATGTACCCTATTTATGTCACATTGTGCAAGCTCTTTAGGTAAAATTAGATTTTAGGAAAAATGGCAGAAAATTTAAACTAATTAAAACATATCCAGTGCAAAGGCCAGTCTAGTCCACACATTATGGTACTGTAATGTAAGCCAATATAATTTAAATAATAAAACATGCCTATATGATTCAGAGGAAGCTGAATATGTTTTAAAGATCTGACATCTAATATGCAGATTCTGCAATATCAGACATTTTTCAAATCTTCATGAGATGGCAAAATAATGTTAAGACTTGTAAGTAGGCTTTTTCTTTTTTTTTAGGATAACTCACATTAACAGTACTACAGTGGCCAAAAAAGACAAACTATTATAATAGAAATCAATCTGATTAAAAAATTAAATATTCCAATTAACACTGAAAAAGTGTTTGTAATCATTATTTACAATTCACCAATGATACCAGTGTATAACTCCACTCAGTCAAAGTATACCACTTTCCAAGCAAATACCAATTCCTCTATCCCCATTCAAGCATTCGATAGTAGTATGATGGTTATGCGCAGCGTATCAGTTTAAAGAAGGAGATCGATCTGTGGTCCAGAGTAGTTCTATATATGGCCATTTGGTTTGCAAGCAGCGTTTTACAGGAGTGTCGTCGGTCTGTAGCATTGGTTCTTCAAAACCCATAACAACTGCTGTGCCTTCTACATACATGACCTGTCAAAATAAATCCAATGATGTCAGCCTATGTTTGTTTAAAAACTCTGATATGAGATGATTATTTTCACCAGGATTTCAGGTGAATCCTGAATCACCTCAGGAGAGGAATTTTATGATACTTCTTTTTATTTACTACAAAATCAAATCCATGAAGTTTTATACACTTTTTTCTTTTTAAAATGAAATGAAGTATGAAATAAAAAAACCCTAATCTCTTAGACTCAAGTGCCTGAAAATCCTGATCAGGCCATATTCATTTGAGTGTTTACTTCAGTAGACAGTAAAGGGCAAAATTGCGGAAAAAAAAATCTAGGAAATGCAATGTAAAAATTCTGTGACAATAGATCTTCTATTACTGTTGCAGTTGCAAAGTTTGATATTGTTATTTTTGTAAGGACAGTGTTGCTTAGACTTAACTTTATGGAACTAATTTTCCATAACATGGAACTTATATTGCAAATCAGCTTTATTCATAAAACAATATTTAAAACGCTATAAGCAGAATCCTTTGAAAACAAAAATTTGTTTAAATTTTCTTGATTATGTATGTATGTTCAATAGTAAAGATAAATGCATCTTTGAATGCTTTTGCCTACAGTTTGGGGTATGAAACTGCTGGACAGGGGTATTTTAAGGACTTAACTCCAAGCTATTCCAAAGACTGAGTATATACATTTTCTCAGAGAGTCTTCTTACTTGAAATTATTTTTGTTCCCTATGTCTGTTAATGCCTTATACTCTTCTACCCTAAATGCTAATTCAAGAACTAACTGAGAAGCAGTCATGGTGTGTCACGTACACCCCTCCTTCCAAGAAAGCTGAAAATGAAACAGGTCATTTTTGTCCCCCACTAAGTGGTTCCAAAAAATACTGATTTTTGATGCAGGTCTGGAGTATTAAAATATTTCACAAAAAATTCCAAACATCTCAATGTAGATGTAGGGTTACTTATAGAAGTTGCAGCTTGTCTGTGTTACGTCTCCATGATCCTTTACAGTTCAGATCCCAGTTCTCATGGATAAGCGTGAGAAGTGCTCTATTCGAAATGCACAGCTTAAGAGATGTGGTCTAGCCAGCCGATCCAGTATACTAGCTAAAATATGATCAGGAGCACAAAGCATTTTTCAATTCCAAATCTATAATTTTGGAAGAAAATTATCAAAATAATAATTTTGTAAAAAGTCTGTTTCAAGTTAAAGTATTTTGCCTGTAACTATCGTCAGTTTTACAATTTAACATAGGGAGTCAGTTCTGCACACTAATTGTTATTAAGGCTAGATGTATGTTTCTTAAATCTCACCTTTTCATTATAGTTAGATTGCTTCAGTCCATTGTAATGGTAAACAGTGAATGACTCTGAAACCCTAGAGTCCTGGTAGAAAGAAGACAGTTAATTTCATGCAACATATACACTGTGCCTTGACAGTCTCTTCTGTTTACAACTAGACAAATGCATTTAAACAGGAAGACTCAGAGAAGTTGTAAAAAAGTACCATTTCTTTTTGGTGACATCATGTTGAAGATTTTGTTCATTTTACCTTTCTCATCAGAAATAATAAAAAGATGTCAGTAAATTAATGGGTTACACCCCAAGAGCAAGTCATGTTTCTCTGTGTTCAGCTGGACACTAAGCTACAACTTCAGCACTGAGCATGTAGGAACTGTCCTAGTTTTTCCAAGACAGCAGTAGTAGCCACATTCACGTGTATTTATGACTGTTTGGATGCTACTACGTTAAATATTTACTAAGGACCAGATCTAATCTCCAACCCTCCATTTGAGAGATAAAAACTTATTTATGCCCACACCTGCCTAAATGTAAACTAACTGTGAAGACAACTGTTCAGCGGAGGCCTAACAGCAGAGGTACTGCAGTTGTCAACCTTTACCATGCCAGGTGTTTAAATGCTTTAGCCCTAAAAGGACTGAAGAGCTCTGCATTTCACTGAATCGGGTGTAATATCATCTCTTTAATGCCTGCTAGACAATAAAGCTTATCCCTTTTTTAAGTACACGGAGGTAAAGGCTGGAATGAGAAGAAATCTGCTCAGGTTAGAGTACATCCATCAGATTATGAAAAGCCCTCATTCATTTTTCTCTTCAATGATTCAAAAACCTTATCTCTGTATGGGTCTATCACAGCAACCCAGGCTATTCAGTGGAGGGAGGGTGATAGAAAGGAAGGCAAGTAGTAACTGGAAAGGAAGGTAAGTGGTAACTCTACTTAAAGAAGTTGCTTCAGAGAGATGAATAAAACCAAGCACTAGGTAAGTGTTCAAACACTGTATAAGGGGAACAGCAACAATTCCAACCATCATTGGCATCTGCTATTTTCTCACAGTATTTTAAAGAAAGACGTTAATCTTCATTTCTGCAGAATTTCACTTTCAGAAAGAATTCTGAACGAGGTGTCAATATGAGAAGGGCTCCTGCTGTCTGAGCCACAGAGCACAGACTGGGCAACATATCCGTGCCCTCAGCATTCAGTCAGTCACTGATACTGGCAGGTCCCAGTCCAAAATGTGCTGATTGTTCAGCCTGCGCCCTGAAGGCAGTAACACTTCCCACATGTTGTACTGGAGCCAGCAAAGGTTCAACAGCACCGGCAAAACTGAGTGGTGGGGAATCACCTGCAGCAGGGGATTAGTACTTGATGGACAGGCATTGACTTGGGGGCTCCAACCTTACAGCAGGTAAAGAGTTCCTCCACCAACTCTCGAGGTGACTAAGGTGGGGATCTGCCCATGATTCCACTATGCGCCCTTCTCCAGCTGCCCCTCCTCAGTCAGTGATGCCCTTCAGCAACAGGCAACAGAGGCAGCAGCCCCATACGATGGCCGTTTTCTCCTCCAGCTACCTATGGCCCACAGTACTGGACAGTTTAGGCACGGCCAATTATGGAGGATGTGCTTCGGCTTTCTGAACTTCATTCTAAGCATCTGGGGCCTAAAATTAAGCAGTGGAGTCTTCCAGATTTGCAAGTGTAATATAAGTGTAAGAAATAAGATTAAATTATATTCAATTGTAAAGATATTTCCACTTCTGGATATATGTATGAAAGGAAGAAGAAAAAGTTGGCAAATACACAATGCAGATGTAATTCTGTAAATCTGGAGAAAATGGACACTCTTAACTCCTTCTTTTTCCTCTAGTTGATCAGTCATCTCTTAATGATGTATTCAGTCCTTACCATCTTTGGCACTGCAGTTCTAATGTCTTCTGAATGACCAGGTTGTTTCATAGTACAGAATACTACACCCAAACAGTGCTGCACAACCCTTAACAAAGAGAGTCTTGCTGAAGGCTTTTTAAAAATATTAGTTTCACATTTCCTTGGTTGCAAAAATTAAGCCATATAGTTTCAATAACACGTTAAGCCACAAAAGCCTCTGAAGAAGCACTCCTCTCAGCCCTTCTCTTGCCTCACCAGCCTATCTTTCTGTCACTGGGGAAACTCTCTCTCTTCTGCCAACGCAAGCATTTGCATGGCCATGGAACAAGCCTCCATAAACCTGCAAAGAGAGCTCTCACCCGCACCAGTTCCCTGTTCTGGTTTACCACATATCTTCCTGGTGGCAGGGAGGGAGGCAGCATGAGGGCAGGAAAATGTGACCCAGGGCAAAGGGAGAAGAGGACAGCAGTGCTAGGTTAACACATGCTTCTCAGTGGTGGTGCTATCTTAATGAGTAAATGGAACAGGTTGAGAGTTTGAAAATAATTTTCCATTACCCTGGCAGATACTGACTTCCACGTATGTAAACAGAACTCTATCATAGGTTTTTGTTAAACTGTCAAAAATTTTACATTATTAGAGATATACATTAAAATAGTTTTAAATATGTTTGTAACCTTTTCCCATTTGCTAGCAATTACAGCAGACATTTGTAATTCTGATAAAAAGAGTATGGTCATTTATTCTCAGAAAAACCAAACTCAGATGAACTTTCTCAGTAGGGAACCAGTTCAATTTCATATGCAAAATGATTATGTATTTCCTGAAGTTAATTTTAGAACTTGTCACTACAATGGAGTTTCCTTCCACTGTAAAGCTGACAAAATCATGGACACCTTACGCAAAACGAAGTCTTGTATTCTTTGCAATACAAGAAGTTATTTGCTGGTCAGCTGTGTCAAATGAATGCAATACTTGTTATTAAAAAAAGCTCTGTGATATTGATGTAAGTGTTTAATGAATCTCAAAGCCAAGCAGAATAGGCAACGCTCTGCAGCAATAAAGCTATATAGATTACCTGCTCAGGGAAAAATTCTTGCAGAAAGGGACCCAGTAATATGATGCCCAGTCCTTCTGGGTCTAATTTGGTCTTCATGAGGTTTACACTATGACAAAAACATTGAATATAAAAGTATGAGTAAGACATTTTTATTCTTGCATGACTAAGTTATGCTGGGCTACCATAGTACTTGCTGCCAAGTATAGCAATGCTATTCTATTTTTAAGCCTAAGTGGCAACTGCACCAGAATGGCATGCAAGTTGCTAAAACACGGTTATTTTTAAATAAAAGTAATCTGTTATTTTAAATTAAATAAGTGATAAATCTGAAGGACCACCATATTTGGTAAAATAATTTGAAACCCATATAATCTAAAACCACGTTTACAGCCCAAAACGCGTTTTGCTGTCTTGTAAGCATTCCTGAACTTAGATACTCAAAACAGTCATCTTTTAAATACAGCTCCATAACTGCCAAACAACCTGTTTTTAAATGGAGGTTTGAAAAGCCTCCAAGTTTTCTAAGTACACTGAAATAAAATTAACAGATACATTTATTATTTACATCACACCCTTGATAACAAAGAAGCCAAACCCAATAATCAATGAAAATATTAACAGTACTAATCTGAAAGCCTTACTGCATGAATATGGTATAACTTCAGGTCACTACAAATGAATGTCGATTATAACTTTACATTTCTATTTAAGCAATATATTTCTACAGGCATCAGATTGCTTAAACATTTTTTTGCATCTGCCTATCCTTTTGCCTAAGTTACAAGTTGTACTGTGCACAAGAATGTCCTCATTGGGTCAAAGCAACCGAGCGTCTTGCCCAGTATCCTGTTTCTGACATTGGTCAGTAGGGGATGCTTACGATAGGGTACAACAGGGCAAACATACAGTGTATCCTTAGTTTACCCTCCCCATTTCCAGCAGTCTGCTGCTCAAAGACATCTTCAGTGAGAGGCAGTATCTAAAACACAAAGATATATATTTTTTCTTTCCATGCATGTGCCTAATTGGCATTGAACCCATATACACTTGTGGCATTTAATAAACTTTCCACTCACAAAATTAAAATTAAACTATGGATTCCGGGAATAAGTATCTCCTGTTTTGAACCTGCCACCTGATAATTCAGTTTGATGACACCTCATTTTTGCATTGTGAGAAGCAATTAACAATCACTCCCTATTTATTATGAAACTCCTGATTTTAGAGACCTCTCTTACATGCCAATGGTTGTCTCCCTTTTCCAGGTCGAACAGTCCTAACCTAGTTCTTCTTTGTACTAATGCCATTCTGTACCTTTGATTAGCCTTGTTGCCTTCCTGATACTTTTCTACAATGTTCGTTTTTAAGATGGAGTGAAATGTCATGCATTTATACAATGGCGTAATTCCTAGAAATCCCACTCCATATCTCTGTCTATCACTGAGTATCAGTTTAAATCTAAGATCTGTTTCCTGAATGGTAATATTTAGTTCACAGCCCAACAATGTGTATGCAAAATCAGGACTGTTTTGCAATCAATCTACATTTACTGTAGTGAGACTTCTCTGTTACCCTATATTCCAGTAACAACTTCTGCTCTTCCACACCATTTTTTAGTATCTTGAATACTTTTGTGTCAGCAGCAAACTATCATATTAATCCCTACCTTCAAATCTTCACTGGTGCCATGACAAAATTCACAGACCTAACACAAATTCCTGTAAAATTCCTCTAATGATCTCCCTCCATTAAGAAAAAAATGACATTTTTATCCTTTGATCAGTTATTTACCTACAAGAAAACCTTCCTTCTTATCCCATGTTTACACATGGAACATTTACTTGTGAATTTTCCCCAATTGGCCTTCAAATCCTTTTCTAAGTACTGTTGTCCATTTGTCACCTTCTCATTCTGGTACTGTCTGGTACCAGGACAGTTTACAGTGGCATGCAACCTAGAATAGTTCAGCAATTTCATTCTGATGTTTCTTCAGAATTTTGGGGTTTTTACTTTTCTTGACACTTCAGACTCTTAGTTGCTCTGACCACCCATAAAAAGGCTTAAGTGTGGAAACCTCCCTGTAATCTTCCCCAGTGAAGATGAGAACCAATCCCTGTTGTCTTCCCCAGTGAATACGAAGAGGAATTCACTATGCTTTTCTTCTAACTTTGAATACTTTTTAATACTGGTGATCACCGATCCAAACTACAGACCTCTTGCAAGTCTCCTGGTTCCGATGGGCTTAAAAAAAATACTATTAGCTTTTATTTTATAACTTTGCAGATTAGTTGTCAGAAGATTTTAACTCTGCTTTATTTTGTATTTGCATTTAACATTCCATAAATGTACCTTCGTCCCTATTTTTTTCATGTAGGCACTACATTTTCCTTTCAGAAGACACAGTCTTAGGTTCTCATAGCTGCCTCTTTTACCACCTAGGCTTTTAACCACCTAGGTCTCTTGTGGGGGCTGTGGGCAGAAGGTGTCTTTCTAAGCTCTTTTTGATTATTGTTGCATGTAAGCATTTTATCCTTTTGGCTACCACTTCAGTGTCTTCATTTCTAAGTAGCTTCCTTTCTTGGTCCTAAGTACTAGTAGTAAATTATTTGGCTTCTTTTTATTTCTGCCTCAATACACGCAGAATACATCATGCAACTTCAGAGAGTGGCTCTGTTAAGGCCCTTGGAAAAGAAATTTTAAAATTCATAAAACTGAATGTGATATCCTATAAACTATGTTAATTTAATATCTAAAAAAAATTTTTCCATACTCAAGTGAAACTAGAACTGAGTATTTGCAAGATACTGAGCTTTAATCCTTCTATTGCTCATTCTTACTGCTCTCAAAGTACAAAATTTAAGATATTTCAGTAGCTGCCTGAAACCTGCTCAAATCCTTGAAATGCTATTTAACAGAGTTCTAAAAACATTGTGTTTGTAAACAGAACCAAGGCAGATTTAAGTAAAGATAATTTTGAAAATGCACTTAATTATGTAATAAAATTAAAGCAAGCTATAGACTCACTAATGAAATACAAGAACTGTTTAAAAATGCAGAGTCATACTAAGTTTTTAAGCATTGGCAGTCTACAAAATTAAATCAATTAAGCGGGAGGGGAGATTTAATAAAAGTTGATGGCTGTATGTTTCAGCTGAGGCTTTTTCGTTTAGCAAATAGCCATTCAATGTTACTGATATTCTACAATGTTCTTGTTTAAGATGGAGTGAAATGTCATGTATTTATACAATGGCATAATTCCTAGAAATCCCACTCCATATGTGTGTCTATCACTGGAGTATCAGTTTAAATCTAAGATTTAAACCTAAGATTTAAACAGCAGAGCTACCAAAACGTGTTCATGCGTGCTTCAGTCACTTCAGTGCAAAGCCTAGCATCTTAACTGAAGAGGTTATGAATGTTGGGGTGATGATACTGATGGCCTTTGTACTGTTACGGCTAAGAAGTGTGTGGGGACAAAAGCCTCCAGCACTGGTCAAATAGACAGATAGGATAAAATATTTTAAACCAGCTAAACCGAGATTGACAGATGTACTCAAATCAGTGCCCTGAAGAGTGTCAGATGGTTTTTAGAAACAAACGGACAAAACAAGAGAGCTGGGTTCTCAGATGTATTTACTAGAAGACTAGAAAATTTTACTAAAACCACATTCAATGGCATGCAGTACTGGAATGGCTAATCCACCTTGTTAATTCACATCTGCTCTACAAAGTTTTCCCCTCTATAATTCTTAAATTCAGAGCAGGTCTGACCATTACTCATCCTGAGATTCTGAGAAGCTTAAAGCCTTGGATTAGATGATCACAAAGAAGTTCCATTTAGTTCTTGAAATAAAAAATTTAAAAAGTACACTTAGAAGCAATGCCTTTAATTTTACTTAAAAACAAACAAACAAAAACCAACTAGAAAAGCCTGCATGGAATTTGAAATGTGTTATTTACACTTGTGTTCCATGTTAAGTAGGCAGGACATCTAGAACCAAAACAGAGTAGGTCCTCAAGACAGTAGTATTAGACATTTTTATTTCATAAGAGATGTTTCAAGACTTAATATTCCATGGTTTGATCATGGCTTTTCAATACAGCAGGCCTTCTGACTGGCTCTTCCTACATCAATTTATATTCATTGTGCTATGCACAATAAAATAGGCCAGGGCTATGCCACAAACACCCTGAAGACCAAACAGCCAAACGGAAAAACTGCTGAATGCAGAAAGAGGATTTCTGCAGATTTATTGAGGCAGCAGAACAAAAAGGCTAAAAGAAAGCTTCTCAGACATATTAAACTAAGGCTTTTTTCTTTTTTCCTCTTTAAGAAAAGCTTTTGCCAATTTCACCATTTATTGACATGATACGAATGCTAGCCTTTTTGTCTTGGGCATTTTTTTTTGTTTGTTTTAGTTTCTCCGGTATCTTTTGATTTCAATTTTCACTCTTATTCTCCACAGAGAACAGCTCAGTAAACTTTGTTGTACTTTGTAACATTTGAAAGTACAGACAATGGCAACAATAAAATTTCAGATGGCTGTGGTAAGTAAACTTCCAGTCTCCACAGCCATTCTACAGGAATAACTGATTTAGACACCAATAAACTAGACCATACGCTTACGAAAGAGCAGAACCACCTTTTGGAGAAGTGAAAAAGTTCAAGCACATAGCTCTCCTTTCCAGGTTAAGCATTTAGTGGCAAAAAGTGGTAAGGTTTGGCACCAAAGGTTAACTGCTGCCACTGAATATTAGTCCTGTCTGTCCACATAAGATCTAAAATAAATTACCTTTTTCATTTGATAGTTTTATCTCTAATTCTAGGAATCAAGGAGTAATTTCTGGAAACAAATGACAATTACATACAGTACAAGGTACTGAGTGTTGGTGGAAACAAAAGTGTAACTGCAGCAGTTTCAGCTTCAAACTCTGTAGACAGATCCAGCGGTAATCCCATGCTACTCTGCCTATGAGTACCTTGGTGGTTTGGCTCTTTTGTCACACACTTTCACCTTCACTAACATACAGGAATATATTCATGATTATTTCTTCTCTATATAAAGTAATGCAGTAGGTTTGAGGGGTTTTTTGGCTTCTAGTTATCCTTACCAAAGTTAGAGACATTTTAAGTTGAATTCCTCCCATTTAATTTAAAGCCGACTTAAACACTTCAAAATAACATTCTGTGACCAGAATGCAAGCTAGGAAAAAATCTATTAAAACCTCTAAATTATACTTGATATGTGATTAATTGAATCAAGGAAAAAACTCTAAAATATAATTAATCTGTAGTTAATCGATACTTATACTTACTATTCAGGATCTGAAACAAGGTCCAGAGCCTTCATTACATCTTCTAGCAGAGTGTCAGGTATAAAACCATTATCTGAAGAACCAGCAAAGCTCCTCATTAGAAAAAGAAACAAAATACTTTCCAGGAGTACAAATTTTATTCAAAAATACAAATCCTGTGTATCTTTATATCTAAAATTCGCAAACAAATGGTGGGGTTCTAGAAGGAACATAGTTTTCAAATACTTCCACTTTGTGGAAATGAGGAGTGCAATACAGAAGCTGCAGGTTCATCGTTCGTACACTTAGAAGCTTAATACTTGCTAAGAATCCAATCTCTTTATAGCAATCTCCACTTGATACCATGTGATAATAACTGTACATTTTTTCTCTTTTGATTACTTAAAATAATACCTGAATGTTAGACATCCTCTGTTTTCCAAAACGTAACAAAATTTTCAGTGTATGCTACATACATTCAAGAACAAAATTTCATGAGGAATGCAATCATAGTGGATCAGTTATTTTATAAAAATGTAATATAAGAGAAATGAAATTATATTTTTAGCTTTATGTTAATTACAAACAACATTACAAGGTTAAAAAGCTTATGCTCTAAGAACTCTACTTCCTACTACACAGTGTTGTATTCAACTTCTCTCACTACAGAATTCTCAGAAAATTTCTTCATGTCACTTGTAGATTGACTACTGTATAGAAAATTTTTTGTCTTAACCAGTAAGTATTTCATTCCTCTCTTAATCAGCTCAGGTATAAACAGCATATTACCCTGGCATGGAAAGGACAATGGATTTGGAAGTGCAGTATTTGGAACAAATTTTAGAAAATAATGGTTCTATTTTTGAAGAGATACCCTACACAATGCAGTATTCATTACTATTTAGAATTTGTCTCTACTGAATGAGTACATTTCGATTATAAAATGTTATTTCAGCAAGAAGTACAGCCCTTACCCTCAGGGTCATATGTCTGGAAAACCCTTCTAGCTTGTTCTGAAGGTGCTTCAGGAGCGACAAGGGCCATATCCTTAGGAAAAAAAAGAAAAAAAAGAAAAAAAAGAACAAAACGTTCAGAATATTCTTAATTCAGATACAGAATACTAAGGAAATATTTAGTCATACTACACAGGTTTGGACCTTAGATTGATGAAAATTTAAATACAAAAGAAAAATTACAGTAATTTGGCAATATTGCTTATAGTGACGTAAAATGATCAAGAAATATGTTAAAGATTATTCCACAAACTTCTAGACAAATTTTACGTAAGTCTTTTCATGCAGATGTTGTGGCACAAAAGCTACTTGGAGACTACACGTATTATGTGGAGATTGAGATTTATAGTACCATTCTTTATATCTGAAAACACATATACATGTACCAGTGAAATTTGTTGAGTGTACTATGCATACATTGAAACATATAAAAATTGTTTAGGTAGAAAGCTGTGAGAGAATGTTTTGAAGTCCATTTCACAGAATGGCAGAACACAAATTTGTTAGCTACATGAAAAGGTATGATTTCAATAATAGCTCTCATAATGCTTTTATTTATCTGTGACTTTTTAACACGCTTTCCAAAATATATGCGGAGAGGCACATGTCTATCTCCTACTGCAAAACCAGCAAAAAGCATATCCCTCTGGTTTTATGCCAAAAACATTATTATAAAAAACGTGAAATTGATAAGTTATTCATGAGAAATGAAAGGTGGCATAAAGGGTAAGAAAGGCACCTATTCACGACACCCTTTAGTTTAAAGAGATACAAAGACTTGATGTTCAAATAGAACATGACACTCCAAAATAGAGCTCCAAAACCTGCTTGCTAGGAGTACTTAAATCCTACATCTCCTCTTGCAAATTTATGATCACCTATGTTGTTTTTCACATAGAAAGAAACATTAAAAACTTGCTCAGAGGTAAACACTGCATTTCACAATACCCCCTCTATAGCTTTTCTTCCTGTCAGAGCAAAAATTTAATGTTACCTGCCATGCTATGAACAGTAAACACAAACCCCCAGAAATAGCAGCATTAACATTATTCTGAATAACATTAACCCTGAGAAACACACTTCTGTTCATATTGTATTAAGTAAATTGATTTGGTACAAATGAAAAAGTTATCTTAAACTGTTTCATAAAGTATACATAAGCTTTTTATTTCCAGTTCATTTCAACTTTGCTTTCTGAACATGACTTAGATTTTCTTGAAAGAGAAAATCACGTTAACATCCTCTCATTATACCTGCATGTGCCAACATTGAACTTTGGTCTAAACTGTACAAGTCTGTATTACTTCATTTGAAGGAAGGCACAGAAAAGAAATCAGAATGTAGAGTTAAAAGTTGCATAGCGACCTAGTGTTCTTTTACCAGATTAAGAAAACTGCATCTGGAAAAGAGCAGAAACAAATCATACATTTGACCAGAATTCTACTCAACCAGTTTCTCTTAATAGCTGATTCCCAATCAGCCAAGAATTTTAAGTGTACACCTAATGGCATCCAGCATATACTTAAAAACTTTCCTGAATGAAAGCGAACTGCCTAGGACACATAAACAGGATAACATGGAACACAACATACCCTTAAAAAAACAAGGCAACGGTTTTACTGTGAACATGAGTGATACAGCTATTAGTGGCATAAGGTGCATACAGTGGGGATTACAGAGCTCCCCTCATTTCCATGTACAGGAGAGAGAAATATTTGGTCTCATACAGTACTGTATTCCACAAAAAGTTGGGAGGAGACATCTGCCCTGTCTTCCACAGCTCTAGATCACCAGCCCATTATACTTTCCCTCCTAAGGGCTACTCCATTGCCACTTGAGCACAACACAAACGTCTACATTACCAAGCGATGCAGCACACGGAGGGAAGGATTGGGGTTCAATTTGCTGTGATGTATTACGGGATATCCACATCACATCTTTACTGGCAATGAAGCTTGTGCCAAACGTCAGCCTTAGAAGCACACTATGCAGAAGCAGAGCCAGTAAGCTCTTGTGTCCCCACTGCAGGCAAGGCACTCCAAAAGGCCTTCCAGTGTGCAACTTCAAGTGTTGGCTCCACCAGGAGAGAAACAACTTTCAGCACATCTCTTGGACACTTTATTGCATGCAGCAGGATTCCAAGTATAGATGCAATGCAAATTTGCACCAAAAAGCAGCTCTCCAACATGCTAAATCACTAATGTAGATGGATCTGGTGAATCATGTCTGCTGGAATTCTCCTAGTTCCCGAGATGTGATAGACTTATCATCAGGACTAAATTAATTCTGGCTCAGCCTACTGCCTCTCTTGCAGCACAAGTGCCACCTTTCACTGTGACTGGACTGCAGAGCCCATCTTTAGGTCAGAAGCAGGCCTGCCTGCAGAGAAACTAGAACTCTAAGCCTCTCGTACCATGTGACTTCTCCAATCACCCTGTACCCAAGTATTCCAAGTAAGAAAGTGTACAGAAGAAACTAACTTGGGAGAAGTCCCTTTGTCCTTCTAGTCTCTCCCAGTGAGAGACTTGTAAATTGCTTGCTTAATATACTGGAAATATAAAACCTAGATTTTTATATGAATTCAGTACCATAATAATGTAACTTTAAGGATCCATAAATATGCCTAAATTGGAACAAACCCACTATTTAATGAAAAATATTCCAGTGATTTTATAAATGAATAACTAGAACACTTACAGAAAATCAGTACTTTAACAGTGTATCTTCATGTTTACGTATGTTCTAAACTTTTTTAAAGGACTTTGCAGATAAAGGGACCATACTGCTTTAATAACATCTACAGCTCAACACAATTAGTTTAATGATGCCAAACAATGTATGAAGATGTGCAGTTGTTGAGTACATAGTCTGTTATAATGGGTAACACTTATGTGATTATATAAGGTAATGCAATCATCAGGCCCAGTCAACATGGGTTCACAAAGGGAAAGTCCTCTTTAAATAATTTGATACCCTCCTGTGGTAAGGTCACCCATCTAGTGGACGAAGGGAAGGCAGTGGATATAGTTTTTCTGGATTTCAGTAAGGCTTTTGACACTGTCCCTCACAGCATCCTTCTGGACAAGTTGTCCAGCTGTGGGATGAGCGGGTTCACGGTGCTCTGGGTGAAGAACTGGCTGAAGGGCAGAGCTCAAAGGGTTGTAGTGAATGGGGCTATATCTGGCTGGCGACCGGTCACCAGTGGTGTCCCTCAGGGCTAAATTCTAGGGCCAGGTCGGTTCAATGTATTTATCCACGATCTGGATGCAGGAGCTGGATGCACCATTAGCAAGTTTGCTGATGATAACAAACTGGGAGGTGCTGTGGACTCTCTTCAGGGACAGGAGGCCTTGCAGGGGGATCTAGATAGATTGGAGCATTGGGCTATGATTACTGGGATGAAATTTAACAAGTCCAAATGCCGGATTCTGTACCTAGGACGGAGTAATGCCAGGCACAAGTACAAACTGGGAGAGGAGTGGCTGGAGAGCAGCCCTGCAGAAAGGGACCTGGGGGTGCTGGTCGACAGCAGGCTCAATGTGAGTCAGCAGCCAAGAGGGCAAACCGCATCTGGGGTGCATCAAACACAGTATAACCAGCCAGCCAAAAGAGGTGATTATCCTGCTGCATTCAGCGCTGGTGCGGCCTCACCTGGAGTACTGTGTGCAGTTCTGGGCCCCCCAATTTAAGAAGGATGTGAAGGTCCTTGAATGCATCCAGAGGAAGGCAACAAAGCTGGTGAAAGGGCTGGAAGGCACGTCCTATGAGGAGTGGCTAAAGACTTTGGGCTTGTCTAGTTTGGAGAAAAGGGGGCTGAGGGGCAACGTCATTGCTCTCTACAGCTGCCTGAGGAGGGGAAGTGGAGAGGGAGGTGCTGATCTCTTCTCCCTGGGATCCAGTGATAGGACACATGGGAATGGTTCATAGCTGTGCCAGGGGAGGTTTAGACTGGACATGAGGAAGCATTTCTGTACTGGGAGGGTGGTCAGACTCTTTGCAACAGGCTTCCTAGAGAGGTGCTCAATGCCCCAAGCCTATCAGTGTTTAAGAGACATTTGGACAACGCCCTTATTAACACGCTTTAACTTGGTCAGCCCTGAACTGGTCAGACAGTTGGACTAGATGATCGCTGTAGATCCCTTCCAACTGTAATAGTCTATTCTATTCTATACAACACATGCACTGTAAAATTTCATAATATGTGACCAACTCTTAAATAGTTTGAAATACTCCAGAATTGGAAAAGTTTCATTTTGGGGGGGGTCAGTATTACGAAACATATTAAGGAGGAGTAGATTTCATTATCAGTGAATTACAGTACACCACTGCAATTAGTTCTCAGTTTAAAATAGATGATGCCATAGTATATAGAGCTTATTAACAACAAAAAGACCAGTGATTTCTATATTCAGGATTTAACTCTAAAGAGGGGATATTTTTATGGTAGGTTCTTATTAATGAATTAGCAGCTCATGGACACAGTGTAACAAGGGAGAACTCTTAAAATTTCCATGGTTTGGAAGGATAGCACCAAAGTAACTTCCAACTGCACAGACATACTATTTCAAACACAGACTACATAATTCTACTTTGGTTTACGAGTATGCAGTTCTTTCCATAAAATCTTAATGTAATCCAAGAATAAAGACTATCATTTGTGTTGTCCTCCCTCCCCCCAAATTATCTTGTTAATGCAGCACTTTCCACAGTTTCATGTGATGCAAACCAGATTTTAAAAAATAAGGCTCCTGCAACTACCAACAATTTTTTTTTTGATAGTCCAATTGCAAATAGTGTGTATTTCTGTTGGCATTTTAATTTTCCAGGTCCTTAGTTATTTCAGTGCATGTGTACATGTGAAGAACTTGGAGAGTAAGTCACTAAATGCACTACTCAATACTGAAAATTATCCATGTCTTTCAACTGAACTTTAAAATATGGTAAAGCCTCCCAATTATTATATATTAACACTTTTTATTAATTAAATGTTATTTACTGATGCTCTAAGGAAGTCATTTCAGGAAGAAACTTAGA